ACCCCACAACCCCAAAACCCCAAAACCCCAAAACCCCAATATATTTGAACACATTTGAAACTTAATATAATTTATTTGGGATGAATAAAAATAGGAATTCGAAGAAGAATCAGAATATGAGTTTTAATGCGTATTTTGATCAGGTTTATGTACCAAAAATTGAGATTTACCAGGAAGACAATACAGAGTAAAACAAAAGCTAATTTGTAGAGGATCGCCTGTGAAGAAGAAGGTTTCCAAGGGATATCTATATAGAAGGCAGAAATAGTAAGGATTCTGACTTAATTAGTAGGAAAGATTGAAGAGCTGATATTGAGGTATGAAGGAGGCAATATTGCCCATCTTCTTTGTTTTGAAATTTTAGGAAAAATCTTCTTTGGTGGGATTTATTTTGGAATCTTATTCGACACAATCTTTGTTTATCAAAATAAACGAATTGATTTTGACATGTATTATGATTTTCTTTTGAGTAATACAAAGGTTAAATCAAAATTTTCTTAAAATGTTAAAATAATCAAACTATTTGGTTTAAATGGAGTATTCATCAAATAATTAGTCTTATTTAGCAAAAGCAAGAAACTCTCTTTTTGCGCTACATTACTTTAAGATATTTTATCCTTTTGTTCTTGTCATTCTATGTGATATTTCAGTATTGTTTACATTTTAGGTTCAGCACAAGCCAAAAAGAAGCTAAACCTGGAATATTTGAAACCTATTTTCAAAATCATTGCAAAATCAGGGAGAAGAAGGCTCCTCCTAAGCCTACCCTTGCTCAAAAGACCCCTCTAAAACGACCAGAATTGCCATCCCATCCCTCTATTCACACCAGTAAGCTCAATATTAGGATTGTGTTTGAAGGATTTATGTGGCTATAGATATAAATACGAGCTTTCCAGTGTTGAAAAAGGAGATAGAGAAGAGGAAATTGAAGGAGTCTAGGAGTTCGACTAAGTCGCCTTTGAGGTATTTTTATATTTTACATATTTTTGGTTGATGCTGGGATAACACTTTGGTTATTGATTAGGGAATCTTCATTCTGTATATTTTGGGATTAAAGGAAGCTATTTTTCAACCCTGAAAGATTGATGTGACGTTCATATCTAATGCTAATAACTCCATTCTGAATATGCAGTATTTTACTCTTTTTATTCATCTGTTCAATACCTGAAGTTTGAATTATTTTTAGGACTGGAAGTTTCAGCAAAATATCAAGACTGAAAAAGTATGCCATTATTCAAAACTATTTCTTACTCTTGCTATTACTCCAACCTCTTTTTCAAATTCTGAAAGAAAATATAGGTCTGAGATGAATCAAGACTTAGAATGTCTCAACGAAGAAAACTCCAGAACTTTTGTAATAAATGAAGAGTGAGTAAAATTCTCAAAAACTACTATACTTAGTCTTGCATCTGCAGTTTCTCACTTAGAATTATTCTAGGAATCCCACACTAGTGCTGAACCCCAAGATCAAGAGCAAATATGAGGCTTATTTCAGTAATAGCACCTCTCTCAAAATAGGTATGAAGGTTTTAAACGCATTTAGGAGGCCAAAATAATAAATAGATACAACAGTAATTTCTCAAAAAGTCCTCACAAGAGAAGACCTCAAGGAGTCTCGAAGGAAGGTAAATTCAGATATAAAAGAGAAACTAGATTAAATTATAGCTATTTTAGAGAAGAATACCTCTTATGGCGATCAGTCAGTGCTAAAAAGGAAGCTAAATAAGCTTGAATTAGATAAAATAGATACTTCTTTGGTTAAATTGCCCAGAATAAAAGATCAAAATCCTAGTAGAAAGAGCCCATAGTATAATTCTCTGTAACTTTTAGTGTGAAGATGGAATCAAGGAGAATGAAGAAGAATTATGAAAGTATTGAGACCTCTAAGGTATCTCGTTTTCGCTATTTTAGCCATCAAAGTCAAGGACTATTGAGCATACAAGGAATATCTTATCCGGGAGGTTCACAGAAGGCTCAAGAAGTAAGTTAATTACTAATATTTTTATCATAGATGTCTTTTATATGAACAACAATACAGATAGTACCAATCGATCAACGACACAGAAGTCTCAAAGAAGAAGAGGCAGAATTATTAACAGCCTGAGGATGAACACTCGAGTCCCGTGTAATAAGGTCCAGACTCAGAATTAAGTTCAAGTATATTATTGTTAAAGGAAATAACTCTGGTTTGATCAGAGAAGCACTCAAGACTAGACCTCAATGGATGGAAATTCCTAATATTCATTCAATGTATAACTTTAAATGGCAGCCATTCTCGAATGGAATCAATTTTGGCAGTCTTGGAAGAAAAGCGGGAATAAAGCAGATAGTAAACCATCTAAAGAAGCACAAAGCAATTAGTAACAAGGTGTGTCTTTTGGACACACTTTCAAAATATTTTGGACCTGATCTATTTCAATATGGTAGGTTTAAGCCAAGGAATAACCTTACATCTCTTTCAAAAGTATTGGAAAATGGGCTATTTCTTCTTTAATCTATAGCTATTAATCCAGGTATTGGAAACCTCACTTCCTAATATCTTCAAAACTTTCCATTCAAAACTCTCATATTATTTCCTCCAGTTTCACTTTTTCCAACACAACATATCTTTTCCCCTATTTCCCCATACCCCCTTAAATCTCCATCTCTAACTCTCCTATCTTCATCCCCCATCCCCTTTCCTATCCCCAAAACCCCTCTGCTCAACCCACTTAAAATTTCCCAAAATGACCCAGTGATCTAACCCAATTCCCAAATTCCCAGTCGCACTTTCAAAATCTCTTACTTGTTCTAGTCTATTTTTCTAACCTTGCTATAGTGCCAGTCACAATGAGTGTAGCAGTCAAGCCAGGAGATTCGATGAAGAGTAAGCCATTCTTGTGAGTTTTAGGCCTGAATGAAGCTTTGAAGCCATTTTTGAGGATTTTTGAGATGTTCGGAGAGGTACTTTGGAGGGTGATTTGTAGGCTTGTGAGGGGGTTAAGGAGGTTTGGAGGAGAGGAGGGGGTAATGAAGGGGTGGAGATGTGGAATGAGGAGAATCAGAAGGGAGGAGGTAAGGTTATGGGATTGGGGTTTTGGGAGGTTTGTGGGGCGTGTTGGGTGTTTTAAGATGTTTGGGATAATATGAAGTTTTCTTGGTTTTGATGGATTTTCTTTTATTTATTACAGTCTTTTGTATTTCTATTGCTATAATTGTAAAAATTCATTATGAAACAAATTTTTCTTTTGCACATTATGAAAATCTTAAGTTTTTAGCCATAGACTCTCCTAATCAGAAGAGCCCGGATTACTGAATGCCACTAAGCCACTTCAGCGGTAACAATTTCTGGGTATTCAAAGTATCCGATCTGAACAGAGGCAGAGGGATTCACATATTCAACACAGCTCAGCAGCTTCTTGACCTTGTAAAAGCATACGGGATACACAGAGTGGATAAGGTAAATTTGAGCATAATCCTTCAGGCAAAGAATCACATGAATATATTTACACATTCTAAGCTTCAAAATGACTTTATTATTTATCCGAATAATAAGCTAATTCCTGAGTTGAACACTGGCTTATTAATGACAAACTCAAAGCTAAATGAGCAACATAAACCTGGTTGTAAGAACCAGAGGCTTGAGTCTATTTATAGTGCTAAATAGCAACTTGAGAGAACGTATCGGGAGGAATGTCACTTCTGATTATAATTTCATCATCCAGAAATATATTGAACGGCCTTTCTTGATTCATGGTAGGAAGTTTGATATTCGAGTGTGGGTTTTGGTCAGCCACACAGGTAAATGATACTTCTTCAAGGAAGGATATTTAAGAACATCAACAACAAAGTTTAGTATGGATGAAAGTAATCCTGATGACCCTCATGTGCACTTGACAAATAATGCTATCCAAAAATCTCTCAAAGGGTATGGAAAGTTTGAGGATGGTAATCAGTTGTCATTTAAGCAATTTCAAGAATACCTTGACTCTCTTGAAAGATGTAGCATCAACTTCAAGCGAGACTGATTGCCTCAGATCAAGAATAGCATTATGCACACCTTATTGGCTGCCAGGGAGCAGTTAAGCGATAACAAGAATAGGCTTGGATTTGAGTTTTTCGGTTTCGATTTCATGCTGGACGAAGACTTCAATGCATGGCTAATCGAAGTAAACACCAATCCTTGAATAGAAGAAAGCTCAGAGATGTTGAAACACTATTTGAGAAGACTGATTGATGATATGTTGAAGCTTGAGCTAGATCCTTTCTTTCCAAGAGAGACAACTTAAAGCTTTCAATTTTATATAAATACCGAGGGGTTTTGGGGTTTTGGGGTTTTGGGG